ACTCCTGGGCTCAAGCGAGTCTCCTGCCTCAGCCTCCCAAGTAGCTGGGACCACAGGTGCCCACCACAATGCCTGGCTATTTTTTGGTTGCAGCCGTCATTGTTTGGTGGGCTGTTTCGTGGGCCTGGGCTGGATTCCAACCTGCCACCTTAGGTGGCAAGTGTGTGTGGCTGGCGCCTTGGCCACTTGAGCCACAGGCGCCAGTGTTTGTATCCACTTGCCTCCTACCATTTTCAAGCAAGTCTCAGACATATCATTTAATCTGTAATCCAGCATGTATCTAAAATAATAAGACTTACTAGTTATAAAAGTTCATTAATATGAAACATTGGGTGAACTTTTAAATGCCTTAGCCATCAACTATATTACTGGTCCAATTGCTTAATTTCTATTGCACCTCTGTAGAGGACCAGGCTGCTGTTCAAGGCATCTTTCTGGAATGTAGAAATAGACTCCTGAGTGTCATGATATCATGTCCCATTTTGTTAAAACATGTTTTATCTTCAAAGACATTGCAGTCCACTTTTCAATTTGAGTTGGAATATCTTTCTTGCTATCTTGATCTCGAGCTTTTAATAACCTAGTCGTATTTTTAGCTTAGATATTTTTAGCTCCCCTCTTTAGATCATTACTTACTTGTTGGCAGTCTGGTTCCTTGAATATAGTTAGTGTCGACAGAGGATAACTAACCTTATTTCCAAGGTCTGAAAACACTTGGATAATATAAGCATTGAGCTCAGCATTCTGATAAAAGTATTTAGAGATGTAAAAACTGAAAAATTTTATGGTAGTTCTCTGAGCTCGCATTCATTATATGTTTTTTGAATGCATTGTAGATGACCTTTGTGAATGTTTTTGTTTGAACATCTATTACATGCATGAAACAAACACTTGAGAAATTATTGTGTATACATTCTATGGGATTGGACTTCAGAGTTGGTTTTCAAGTTTGAGTTTCTGACTGTGAAAGAACCCCAAGTGACTGCTTTTTTTGAAATTTTGTATTACAATTGTAATGCTTGCATATGGTTTTTAAAAAAGTGTTTAGTGATCTATGTCTCTTCCTACTCCTGTCCCTCTGTCCTTCTCTAGGAGCTGCTCCTGTTAACAGTTACTCTCCAGAGTGCATATTTTGTGGGGAGGTGTGAGGTGGGGGATATCAACATATGTATAGGTCTCTTAAAATATATGACAGTATACCCATGTGTTCTGAGTCTCACTGTTTTTACTCAGTAATAGTCAAAAACATTAGTAATACTCAAAAACATTTATTTTGAGATATGGGAGATAACACTTTAAGTTGAACCTGTAGTTTTTAAAAGTACATTTCAAGTAAGCCAAAGCAGACAAGTAAATGTATTTTTCATTGTTGTTTAGAATTTTGAATTTTCTATTTAAAAAATGCAATTTGAGAGTTTCATAGTTGATCTGTTTCTCCCCCAGCCATCCCAAGTTTATCATTTGTAAACAGATTTAAGATTAGCAGCAGCAGCTTTGGGAAAGTTTGGCATAACTGGGTGTGCCCTTCACTCCTAGATACATACCATAGAGAAACTCTTGTGTGTGCTAGGAGATGGATGTAAGAGTGTCTTAACAGCATTGTTTGTAATAAGAAGAAAAGAACTTGAGAAGACCCAAATGTCCATCAGCAGTCTGTTGGATAAATATTGTGGTATATTCCTACAGTGGAATTCCACAGAAGTGAACCTGAACCACAGCTCCGCGTAAGAACATGAATGAGTCTCAACGATATAGTGGTCAAAAGCAAGGTACAGAAGAATGCACCCACCATGGTTCCATTTCTGTGAAAATCAAAAACAGGCTGTTAGATACATGATAAATGAAAGAAACGCAGGAAGATGATTAACACAAAATTTGATGTTAGCCATTACGTGGGGGGGTGGGAGGGAGATGTGATCGTGAGGGCGAACAGGTGTCTTCAGAGGAACTGCTGATGCTCTATTTCTGAAACGGGGTGGGCATTTACTTTTTTAAACTGTATGTTTATGTGCTTTCATGTGTATGATATTTCTTAATAAAATTTAAATTTTAAAAAACAGGGAAAAGGTCTTGGTGTAGGTAGTTACTAATAACATAGATACCTAATGTATTTTATAAAATTAACCCTCCAGCGAGTGTCAGATTTCAAAGCTACTGTTTCTTGGCTATCACATTTAGGGCCTTAATTGTAGTTAATCTAAATACACATTTTCTGTGTGTTACTTTTATATTGACAATTTGAATGCCAGCCAGGAAGCTGATGCTTTTGTTCTCCTGTCTAGGCAGCTTCCAAAGAATCTTTTCTCTCAGATTTATGTTATTCCAGGAAAGGAAGCTGCTAGGCTGAGCCAGTTCTCCTTTGCCCTAGCTCACCTCAGAGAGGCTGCTGCTTTTTTGGCCTTGTTCTGATTTTAATGGGGGTACCATGAAGTGTTAACAAAACGTTTACTCTTTTTCAAGCTATCCCCCTGGGTAGAGTGCCATGGCATCACGCTCACAGCAACCTCCAACTCCTGGGCTCAAGCGAGTCTCCTGCCTCAGCCTCCCA